ATTTTTAACTAGGGCAACGTTGCTTCCCATTCAATGTGAGCTTTTTTACTGTAATTCTTTCTGATTAGCACCGTTTTATGTGAAAAACAGAGATATTTCTGAACTTGATTTAACTTTCTACTGCGCCTGATGATTGTACTTAATATGTAGGAATGCATGTTGAATGCTGTGTTCTTTATGTCGCTAGTTCGTGAGTACGCCCCACCCCCCAGTGTCACAGCGGCATGTCTGCGGACTTATAACGCTAGAAACCGGGTTTCGATACTCGCGGTGGGAAGAGCACAGATAGCCCTTTGTGTAGCTTTGTGCTAAACTGTAAACAAACAAACAAATATCGTGAGTACGGTAAGTAGTGTCCCTCCGAGTATAGAAAGTAGTTTGTTTGAATGCTATAACCTAATGCTATGGAAGTTTTACACCAGTGAATTTAGTACAAAAAACCAGTTTCATCTTGTTTAACGGTGACGTGGTTGTAAAGTGTTACAATGATAATTAAGTAGGCTTCTCAACTACTGGTGAAGTGTTAGTGGTTATATCGTGTCTTTTCGCTACGTTATGCAGTTGTTTGTCAACTGCTAGGTCGATTTTGACCTTACAGAATAGTAATTTAGTAGTGATTTAGTAGTGATCTAGAACTTAGCGTGCGATACAAGTTTAGAAAAAGTTTAACGGATTTTAAGTAAAAAAAAAAAAATGTACACTGGCAACTGCGCCGAAAAACTCAAATCTGAAGCATGCAACGCCTAAATACGTTAAAGTAAACTAAGAAATATTCCAACAGCATAAGTATTCTTCCAGGAATATGTCTACACAACACCCGTGGTATGAATCTTTGAATGTTTTAATACTGTGCATTGGATGTCTTGTAAAAAAATTTTTAATTTATAAGAAAAGATCAAAGTGTTTTTTTTTGTTGGATTTCTTTAGCAAACGACTGATAATTATATTTTAAGAAAAATGTTTGCTTCTGTCAAGCTTATCAACAGTATGTTCAGAGACTTTAGAAGTATATCCCAAAACTGTATGTGATACAGACTAGCGAGCACTTAAAATATTCACCATAAGATGAGCTGAGCGCACCTAAGTAGTTAGTGTGCCGGACTATGGATCCGATGTTCACGCTCCACTACCGTCAAAGATAATATCGCGCATCGTACTTTGAGGTCATGGGTGCGTTAAAAAGAGCGACAGTAAAATCTTACTATTCGATTATAACAGTCGATGGGTGGTGAATGGTGTTTATTTTAGTTTATCACTTCGAAATTAGAATAGTTAACACAGATAGTTTCAGAATTATTAATAGAACGGTTAACACAGATAGCCTTCAAATATAGGTTTGCCCGAAGTTCAACAAACAGCATCACGAGATATAAAATATGAAAAATAAAATTGCCTTGAGGGGATTGAAAAGCAACAAAAACCCGACTTTCATCTTGAGCTTAAAGGCGTGTTAAATTTTGTGGAAAATAAAAGACCTACAACTGTTAACGTAGAATCGATATTTCGACTCATCTTGTGATCTAAACATGGGCCGAAAGTAAATATATTTTATATATCGTCAGTTAAGTAAATGCGCATTTTTAAGGAGCCGGTATGAATGCTGTTGAAAGAGGACCTAGTAGGTCAGCGATAAGTTTACGGACATACAAATCTAAAATCCGGGGCTCGATTCCTCGTGGTGGACAGCGCGCAGATAGTTTTGCGTCAAAACACACAAACAAACAAAACCGTTCAAATAAATATATTATTAATAATAAATCCATTAAAGTACCAGCCCAACACTTTAAATCTATCATTAAACCAGATGGAAAGAAATGTCTGTTTGGTGTTAAATTAATTTTTACCACGTGGAATACGAGAGTGATGACAAACTGACTACTAGGATATGGTCATTCTGGTGAGCAGCTGTTTGTACCTGATTAAAGATTTCGGTTGAGAGGTTTGTGTAGAATACTGTGTTTAATAGTAAATTATAACACTGTGTAAGGTTCTGTTTCAGATCAAACAAACACTGACATAGTTTGCACTCTAATGTTTTAGGTTTCATTCCACGTTCTGTTTCTGAGCTATCAGTTTTAGGTTGTTTTATCTTGTCTCCGTAGTCGAGTAAGTACTTAGGTAAAGTGATATGATGTATTATAAAGTCACGGTATCGTTCAGATACTTAAATATGTTAAAGCAAATGAGAAGTATCTTCATGTAATTAAAATACCACTTGCCGTTTGAACCTGGTAGTTTTACCGAAATGATTTAAGGCACTAAACAAAGGTGGGAACTTTGGGGCAACTGACCCAGTAAATGATGTTTTCTGTGAATTTATTAGTGAACAGTCAGAGAGCATATGGGACAATATTCTAACGGTGTGGAACTGAACGACAAATGAAGGTGATTCACATATATTAGTAGATAATTGGTTTATCAGTTTGACTGAAGAACCTGAAGTTTTACTGACTGTAAGAGAAGGAGAACTAAGGGGAATATTTATCAGCTAAAGAACTACTGTTGGATATTGAATCTGTGGATTCCAGGAATTATTTGCGGTAGAATTAGATGCTATTCCCATGAGGCAGCACAACAGACATTTTTATGATAAAGTAATTTCCCTGCACCTTTTAAGAATTATAAATGTCACCAGTCTCTTCCGAAGTAATAATAAGTAAAGATATAGTCCTTGAATAGTCCTCTTCTCAAAAGGTATTTACTATTTATTCGTTTATAACCAATGCCTCACACCATGTATTATAGTTTAATCTCGACTATGTATTTCACTTATCATGCCACAATTGTGTGGTCAACACGCTCACAGAACGTGACTAAATATCGACAACAATCGACTATTGAACAAACTAACCAATTGACATCGAAGCATAAATGAAAGGCCTAATTTCGTAAATTCAAATACACATTTCCAATAAGCTATTTATCAGTTGTAAAGTATGATGCAAGATATTAAACAACAAAAACTAACTATTCATGATTTTAAGTGAGTAATGATAAAATATATAGTACCTTATACTGTGTATATCATACACAAAATGCAATATTGCTAATTATTGGTTTTAAAAGTGATCGAAGAACAGTCAAGTTGCATGTGAATTTGACTTTACAACGTACTGTTTTTAACTACTGAAAATCTTTATATAAACATCTGATAGCAGCTCCGCCTATAGAACATGCTGAAGCTAATTTGGTAATGACAAATGACTAGAGTAAGGATACAAAGGTTGACAAGGAACGTTTGAATGGAGCTACAGTAAATTCTAATAAATTACAAATTATTTTTCCTCCATGTCATTTGCACACCGTCCTTCATCAATATACACGCAGCCACTCCAGACTTATCTTCCTGTGAGTACAGACACACAGTAGGGATATGGTTTTAAGACCGGGTAAACTCACGGTTAAAACAGGAATATTCAATTAGGCTTTGAGAAATTATTAAAAGGTTGGGTTGTATAATGCTTATATATATTAATAGAGAATTTAAGTATTGGAAAATGTACGTCCATTTATTCTGGAAGCATCACAGTTGGTTGCTATCTTCGACTGACTGGAACAAGCTTAGAGTGTACAGGACATCATTTCTCATAACTTTGTGTTATGTTTGTAATACTGAAGCCTGTTGTGTTATATGAGAAGCTTCTAGCATTTGAATTTCACAGTATCTTAAGTTTCCCGCCTTACTCTACTATTATGTTACAAACGATTTTTTATTGTTCGTTGTTCATTAGTGACATCAAACCATAGAAACTGACGGGCGTTTAAAAGTTTAACAGTTAGTTCTGTTATCCAATAGAAATTGACAAGTAATAAAGAAAGTTGAATAATTAACTCCTCGACCAGTGGAAACTCATATGTAATGAAAAGTTTAACAGCAACTTATCTCGCAGATAATAAAAAGATATCAAATATTGGCGCTCTTTCCTAATAAAACTCATAACTAATGAAAAGTTCAATAATTATATCCTCAACCAATAGAAATTCACGGGTAATAACTATTGTTCTCTATCAGTATGTTGTGAGTTAACAAATATTTCTAAGGGATGGCACTACCAGTTCATGACGATTGATTCCATTACACCACAAACATTCACTTGGACTTCAATTATAAAAGTTGCTATAATTATACATAAATGTGATAAAGACTCAGCTTTATAGCATAAAGCTTCTGCTTATGATTAGTTTTTAACGATAAGGTGTTGCCAACATTTATGAGCTGTGCTAGTGATAGTTAGACACAATATAATGCAACAAAGATATATGTAGTTTCTTTAATTTTCAAAGAATGTGAATCATACAAATATTGAATTAATTAAGCTTAATTATCGTGGTTTTTGCTTTTTTTTTATTTATCAAATTTAACATGTTCAGGGAATAAGTATTAAAATTTTCAAATGTTAGACTTCTCTCCAAAATCGAACACATACTCCTGTCAAAAAATTAACAAAACAAAATACAAACAAAAACGATTGACATGCAAGAATGGAATCTTTTTCAGGATTAGTGCCGTAATTTTATCTTAGAAAAATATGGTCGTTTGCATGAGAAAGATGCAAAACCTAAACGAGCACATTTGGCATGTGTGATTAAGTTACCAAGAAATATAAGACGGTACCATAGCAGTAAATCTTAGTTGAAACTTCGGATTGTCTAGCTTTTAATTTAATTTTAACCAATTTAATAGAAATATGAAACCTTTAGGCGTTTAGCATTCTCGGAAATATTCTTTTTGCTGGGTCTGTTTTTACAATAACTATTCTTCAAGTAACGGTTACACACTAGGTCAGCGGTTCTCAGACTTTAGTAACCAGAAGACCCATTTGAATTTAATTTAACTCCCAAACCTATTGATATTTTTTGTTTGAAAAAAAAAACGATTCCTTGTACATAAAAAACTGTATTCCAAAATTAGAGTTTTAATATATATATAAATATAATTTTATGGAAAACCTTTTTATTTTACAAATCATATTTCTTTAAATATCTTTATGAAATTTCAGATATGATCGCGGACCCTCTGGAATAATCTCGCGAACCTTTGGGAGTTCTCGGATCCCAGTTTGAGAAACGCTGCACTGGTGACGCATGAATACCCTTTTTCATCTAAAAAAAAGTTGAATTGTTCTTAAGTTCTTTTTTATAGGTTACTTATGAAATTCAGTTAAACAACAACAACAAAATGCACCACCAAATGACACACGAGGATAACAGTGGAGACACTGTTGCATCATCTATATTTCCACCTCGATCTCCAGGAGGTAAGTCGGTGTTCAGCAGACTATCACACCATGCTCGTCCAAAGACACTGAAAGTTATGGTGCTAGGGCTAGCAGGAGTAGGAAAGTCAGGTGAGTCATATTGTTTTTATAAAACTAAGACATTAGTAAAAACTTACCAGCTATTTCTAAACAATATTTTGGTTTTCACGGTTAGATATTCTTTTCTAAAATAAACTTTGTGCATTTTGAAACTAAACTGAGTCTTAAAAAAAAGACAATATGTCCTTTATAATGACGAGAAGCGAATGAATTTGGATTTTATATGCTAAATAGTTGTGTTCAAGATTGGATAAGAAACATCATTTCGTGAAAACGAAAGTGATTAGTCAATTATTATATTTCAAATCAAAATCAATTACTGTGTCCATAATATGGTCTGATATACATATACACGTGTGAGTAATGCAACGGAAGTCAGTAATTCCTAGTCTTGAATAAACCACAATTAAAGATGGTGTAATGAAGAATCTTAGGTTCAGTTTTATGATTTGGATTGAAAACTCTTTAGCATTATTTCAGTGAAAAGTATTTCATAGTTGTTACACTCACGGGTACTGATGAAATAGGAGATTATGAATCCTAGCCAAAATCTCATATTTTTTCAGGTAGCAACAGAATGCATTTCTATCAAGTTGAAAAGTGAACTATTTATTCAAGTAATTTAATACACTTTCTGATCAACTTAAGTAGTTCCATTTCATTCTATAATCTTGGAGTTGTTAGAATCTACTCTCATTTGAGTTATACGTATATTAAATTCAACACGGTTTAAAAAGTACTCTACATCTTACCAAAAATATTTTGTTTTCAAAATCAAAATATAAACAGAATTTAGATCAGCAAAATATTAAAAAATTCAGTTATTAACCATTACAAGTTGCCAGACTGATGTATTTGCAGAATAATTTTTTGCTTTTATTTTATACAGATATTAGTAGATTCCTGAATAACTGTTTCTATTAAAGAGAAAACCCCATATTTCAGTTAATTAATGTAACATTTAGTTTTCCTAATCTAGTAACATTAGCGGAAGAGTTTTGACAGTGAAATATTGTATCAAAACTATGCTGCTAATACTTTTCTTAAAAGCTGTCTATATTCTATTCAGAGATGCTGCATGATTTTGGTTAAATCAGTAAATCTGATTGTGTCATGGAAATGAAAACTAACTTCAAGTACATATGCAACAAAATTGAGTCAAATATTATGTAATTCTTTGAAACTCCACCTGAAATACAAACTAATTTAGTTTTTTTAATCAAAGTCTTAGAAAACTTTAAGTGAACTTAAGTATTTCTTCATGGTGTTACTATTATGGTGAAGCTCAGTGTCAGAAAGTAGTGGAAATCTGCATGAACAAGAAAAGAGAAACATGCAGATGCTATTGATCAGATACCTACTTAAGCATTAAACGTATTTTCATTAATGGCCTCTGAATTTGAGATATTGAAATAGGATTTATGCTTTAAAAGAAGTTGCGATTCTGACACACTGGAGATTTACATAGACTGCTATATGCTATAAAGACTTTTTACAGACGCAATTAAGTTGGTTCATATTCTTAGTAGCTGGTGTTTTTAGAGACCTAATTTGTAACGAATCGCTACAGCTACCACAGTTGTAGCTCAGCAGGGAAGACACCCACGCAAGCATTATGACGCAAATGTAGTAGCAAAAAGAAACTATAGACCATATTGAAGAAGGATGTAATACAGTCAAAGTGATTCTTCAGACGATCATATTCTATTCCAGGAAAACAACAGCCAAAATTTTGTCATCAGAGTTAGAATTATGGGAAGTGATAAATACTAAAGTAGCAGATCAATCAAAATGGCAGTGTGTTATTGGATCGTAGCTTAGTCTTCGTTTTCTTTCATTATAAAAAAAACAGTCTGGTTTTTATTTCCCTCATGCAACAGAATCATGGTAAATAATATCTTGGACAATGTCATGATTCTGCTCCCAAATTTTGGCATAGGGAAGCCAGCTAATTATACGATACTTGAACTGCAGTCTTTGTATTGAACAAATACGGTCATTATTCTAGGCCCATTGTGTGCCTTTCGATTCTATTAAAAGGTATATTTACTGTCAAGTGTTCTCGTGATAAACAACATCAAACATCTGGCAATTCAGAAAACTTTAGTTAAAATTGAAGAGTGTGAATTATGTATTTGAATTTTTCAATTTAAGAATATAATAAAACTGTGTCCTTGAAGATGGTATTTGCATTGTTATAGTCTTTTGCTAAAGTTTTTTCATTAAGAAATGTTATTGGAAAATCAGTTATTAAACTTGTTTGAAATAAATGCTGAACTACATACTCGAAGAGGACTACAAACAAGTCCTATGATGCATGCCACGCTGCTCTATTGGATGGATCATCGAGATACTGGTACCTTAACTACGAGATTAAGTTTTTATGCGTGCCACGCTGCTCTATTGGATGGATCATCGAGATACTGGTACCTTAACTACAAGATTAAGTTTTTATGCGTGCCACGCTGCTCTATTGGATGGATCATCGAGATACTGGTTCCTTAACTACAAGATTAAGTTTTTATGCATGCCACGCTGCTCTATTGGATGGATCATCGAGATACTGGTACCTTAGCTACAAGATTAAGTTTTTATGCGTGCCACGCTGCTCTATTGGATGGATCATCGAGATACTGGTTCCTTAACTACAAGATTAAGTTTTTATGCGTGCCACGCTGCTATATTAGATGGAACATAAAGGTACTGGTACCTTAACTACTAGATTAAGTTTTTATGCGTGCTACGCTGCTATATTGGATGGAACATAAAGATACTGGTACCTTAACTACAAGATTAAGTTTTTATGCGTGCTACGCTGCTATATTAGATGGAACATAAAGATACTGGTACCTTAACTACAAGATTGAGTTTTTATGCGTGCCACGCTGCTCTATTGGATGGATCATCGAGATACTGGTTCTTTAACTACAAGATTAAGTTTTTATGCGTTCCACGCTGTTCTATTGGATGGAACATAAAGATACTGGTACCTTAACTACAATATTAAGTTTTTATGCGTTCCACGCTGCTCTATTGGATGGAACATAAAGATACTGGTACCTTAACTACAAAATTAAATTTTTATGCGTTCCACGCTGCTATATTGGATGGATCACAGAGATACTGGTTCCTTAACTACAAGATTAAATTTTTATGCGTGCCAGGTTGCTCTATTGGATAAATCATAGAGATACTGGTTCCTTAACTACAAGATTAAGTTTTTATAAGTAAACAAGCCATCTGTGTGGAACAGTCAACTATCTCATGGGAGATGAGAGTCCACACTCGCACACACACTCATGACTGAGGGTGACTTTCGACGAAAACCAGCGTTAGATGTTTTATTTCATGAACAAAACCATTTAATTTCTCCCTTTTAAAGAGATAAAATAACCCTTAAGAGGAAATTATAGTCCCTTGACTCATAACTGGACATCCTGGAGAACTTTTTCTTCCTGCAGCAAAAATATGATAGCATAATTGAAACTTATTTCTTCCACAAAGACGTGGCTCCACTTTTATTTTTGTTGTTGTTGTTTTAACCTTATCTAGCAACCGAACGCGTCGTACCGTACCATTGGCTTGGCTGCGTCTGTGTAAATCTCTTTATATACAACAATGATATGGACTCTATATGATAGAGTTCATGAAGCAAGACAGTTTATATTGTTACCAATGAAATGTTTTTAATTAAGAATTGTTGTAGTGTTTTCTTCCTACTTTAGCATAAAACTTTGAATGACAGGAAGCAATAAAGTTATATGTCATAATCAAAATCCTTTCCTGCTATAGAACATAGGTACGAAAAATATGAAAGAAGAAACTCATATTGCTATCAAGGATATAATTTTTATGAAAAGGTTGCCAGTGTCTTGTTCGTACGACAGAGTAAAGATTTGAAAATATGAAGTAAGACAGTTATGCCGTTATCAATGAATATTTGAAAACAAAAAGTTTGCCATACATACGCATGACTACGTTTTTACTGTTACTAATGGAACCGATGTTATTAAAGGATGTATAGTACAATTTTCCTGATATACAGCAAAGATTTAGCGGACATGAAACAAGACAGTTATATTGCTATCAAAGTTCTTGTACTTAATGGTTTCTTTCGTGATATCGAGGAAAACAAAGTAACTGTTTTGTTAACCCTTTTATACAAGGAAAAGTTAGAGGGGGAATGAAACAGAAGAGTTTATTGTTATTACTTGTTTTATAAGAGAGTTGTTAACGTAGAAGACGCCAAGAGGCGTATAATTTTCTAAATTAGCTTAATCTTTGCTTGTAAGAATTAGATGGGTTTTAATTTTATGTTTCAGTATAAACTTAGTTAATTGAAAATTAAACTCTGATTTATCTAAACTATATCTCTGTAAAGAGTATATAAATCAGTCAAATATCGTTTTCCTGAATCGTCTACAAACTATAAGACGCTATACATAATACATTTTAGGTAAGACTGATGTAAGAAAGAAGGTGGTTTACATATTATTTCTATAAGCTTCGTACTGAGAGCAGTCGAGTTAGGCTAACCAAATCGTACTAATTAATAAATCGAGCACCAAATAAAACCTTAAATAATGTGTGGAAAAACGCTTGCGCATTTAATTTGTAATTACACTTTCATTGTGTATTTGAAAATTTAATTATATGTAATAATTGCTTGAAGTAGTTGGCTTATTAAATATATGATACATAATAACCTTTTTAACCCCGAAATGTAACTGACTAAAAAACTAGGAAAAAATTGGAACTGGAATAAAACCAGTTTGTTCCGGTTTAAATACAGAAATAGACAATGTGAGAAGTAAATGGAACGAAATCAATTATCTTAAATTTAAAAAACAGAAACTGAAAAGCTCGAATTAAAAAGAAATCAGTTTACTCAAGTTTGAATATAGAGAGAAGCTGGGAAGTAGAAATAAATCAGTTTAACAAAATTTGAATACAGAAAAAAGACTAACTGGAAATAAAAAATAAATAGATTTACTAACGTTCGAATTTAGAAAATGACAAGCTGGGACGTA